GTGACGGCACCCGCGGTTGGCGGGCTGCGCACCAGCGGCGGCGTATTACAAGCAGGCGCTGGACGAGCTGCTCAAGCCCTTATCGTACGTGTACGACGAGGATGATTTCGATGCCCCGGTGGTGTACGTGGACAGGTATGTGTGTGTGTTTCTGGTGTTGGGAGGGGGACGTGTGGTGGAAGGGGTGAGGACGAAGGGATAAGGGGGGGCGGGGGTGGGGCGGGGGAGAGGCCACGTAGAGGAGGTACGGAAGTACGGTCCTTCTCTCTCTCCCTCATCAACATCATCATCATTATTATTATTATTATTATTACTATTATTTCATTATATTATATTATTTTTTTATATTTATTGTTATATTATTTTTATATTTTTATTATTATTTTCATCTTCATCATCATCGCTTTTTGCATTTTTCTCTTCTACTTTGCTCATTACGATTCCCTCCCCTCCCTCGCCCCCCCCTTAACTGGTTCTGGTGCCCTCAGAGCGGATATGTTGGGCAGCTCTTTCGCCGGCCTGATGGACGTGGAGGAGTGGCTGGACCACGAGGGAATATGTGTCAAATTTGAAGACGAGGAGGCGTACGGAGATGGTACGGCGGCAGCGGGAGTTGCGGAGCTACCGCCGGTGCCAAGATGGCGGTCTAGGGGGGGCTGTTGTCTGTGATGTGATGTCTACCTTCATCCACATCGCCATTATCGTTATCATTCATTCGTACATGTACATCGTACATGATATAAATATCATTTATCATGCCCAGTTGGTGTCCTGTGTCACGATTGATGGTCCGGTCGAATACATACACACATACATACATACATACATATATACATATATACATACATACATACATACATACATACATACATACATACATACATACATACATACATACATACATACATACATACATCAGGATGCTGCACCCTGACCTTGCGTCCTAACTGCTGCTGCACCCTATGGCTGGTGTTGGTTGTGGCGGTTGCTCCGCAGGTGTCCTCCGCGAGTGGCTTACCGAGATCGCCTCCTCCGTGTTCGACCCCAACGCGGGGCTGTTCCGGCTGTGCGAGGGGGACGTGCGCGCGCTGCACCTCAGTGCCGCGGGCAGTCAGCAGGACGACCAGCTGGAGCTGCTGAGGTTCGCGGGGAGGATCATCGGTGGGTAGGAGGGGGGGGAGGGAGGGCGGAAGGGCGTGTGTGTTTTGGAGGGGAGGGACACCCCGAAGTTCCCCGGCTGGGTAAGCGTGCGACTGAAGGCGGGGGGTAAGAGCTTCCCATCCCCCCTCGCAATACACATTCACGTACACATTCACGTACACGGTAGAGTTCCGTACATACACCGTGTACATATCCATATCCACGCGGCGCCCGGGGGCCCGCCGCGCTGATCTGCCGCCACACAGTCCGCCACACACACAACCTCCTCTCTTCCAGGCCAACCTCCCCACCACCACCACCACCACCA